CTCTCGGCCATTTCTCAGCCCCTCCTGGGTCTGGGGGCTCTCAGATCCTCTCTCAGCTGTTTCCCAGCCCCCTCCTCCTGGGTCTGGGGGCTCCCAGACCCCTCCCCAGCCGTTTCCCAGCCCCCTCCCAGCAGTACCTGCTCCTGGGTTGGGATTTCTCCGGTCACCAGCAGCCAGAAGAGCCCCTCGGGCAGCGGCTCCTCTCCCCCCGCGGCTTTGGGCAGCTTCTTCTGGCACTCGGGAATGCTGTAGCCACGGAAACGGATCCCCTGCGGGCCGGAGAGTCAGGGGGATGGTGGGAATGGGGTGGGAATGGGGCGGGAATGGGGTGGGAATGGGGTGGGAATGGGGTGGGATGAACTGGGACAGGGCGGGATGGGGTGGGCTGGCAATGGGCTGGGAATGGGGTAAGAATGGGTGGGGACGGGGTGGGAATGGGCTGGGATGAACTGGGACAGGGTGGGAATGGACTGGGACAGGGTGGGATGGGGTGGGAATGGGGTTGGGGCAGGGTGGGATGGACTAGGATGGGGTGGAAATTGGTGGGACGGGCTGGGAATGGACTAGGACAGGGTGGGATCGACTGGGAATGCGTAGGATGGGCTGGGAATGGGCTGGGATGAGGTGGGAAGGGCTGGGAATGGGGTTGGGATGAGGTGGGACGGGGTGTAAATTGGTGGGATGGACTGGGATGGGGTGGAAATGGGTGGGACAGGGCGGGATGGGGTGGGATGAGGTGGGAAAGGCTGGGAATGGGGTAGGGACAGGGTGGGAATGGCTGGGATGGGCTGGGGACAGGGTGGGAGTGGATGGGATGGGCAGGGAATGGCTGTGAATAGGGTAAGGACAGGGTGGGAATAGGCAGGGATGAGGTGGGAATGGGGTGGGGAAAGGGTGGGAAGGGGTGGGACCAGCTGGGAACGGGACAGGGTGGGATGGGCTGGGAATGAGTGGGGACAGGGTGGGATGGGCTGGGACAGGGACAGGGTGGGAACAGGGCCCTACCTCGTCAGGATCCAGCACCGAGGTCTCGTAGATCAGCCCTTTCATGCCCCTCATGCCGCCGTACACCTGGAAAGGGCCGGGAGCTCACGGTGAGGGGGGTGAGGGCCAGTGCCCAGTGTCCCCTCAGTGTCCCCATTGTGTCCCCAGTGTCCCCACACTCACCATGTCCACGGTGATCTGGCCGATGGCCGTGCTGCCGTGCTGCTGCCGGAAGCTCTTGATCTTGGCCTGCTCCTTGGGGATCATGGTGGCCAAAACGTCCTTGAGGTTCTGGGGACGAGGGACAGGGGTGTGAGAGGGGGGGCTGAGCACAGAACAGGGGGTGACAGAAGAAAAGGGACAAGGAGAAGGTGTGGCAATGGAGAGGGTGACAGGAGAGGGGTGACAGGAAATGTGGGGCAGGAGAGGGAGTGACAGAACAGGAGAGGGGTGATGGGAAAGGGGGGGACAAAAGAGATGGGGGCAGGAAAGGGGATGACAGGAGAGGGGAGAGAAAAGAGGGAGCCAAAGGAAAGGGGGGTGACAGGAAAAGGGGCAATAGAATAGGGGGATCCCCATGGGGAGAGGGGACAGGAATGGGGGTGACAGGAGAGAGGGTGATTGGAGAGGGTCCCCCTCTTGAAGAGGGGTGAGAAGAGAGGGGGCCACAGGAAAGGGGGTGACAGGAAAGGGGGTGACAGGAGATGGGGGAGATGGTCCCCCCCACTTGAAGAGGGGTGACAGGAAAGGGGGGGTGACAAGAAAGATGGGGACAGGAAAAGGGAACTCCCATTGGAGAAGAGTGACAGGAGAGGGGATCACGGCAGAGGGGGTGACAAGAAAGATGGGGACAGGAGAGAGGATGACAAATGGCCTCCACTTGGAGAGGGGTGAGAGGAGGCCACAGGAAAGGGGGTGACAGGAAAGGGGATAGGGTCCCCCTCTAAGAAGGGTGAGAGGAGAGAGGGCCAAAGGAAAGGGGGTGACAGGAAAGGGGGTGACAGGAAAAGGGAACTCCCACTGGAGAAAAGCAACAGGAGAGGGGGATCAAGGCAGAGGAGGTGACAAGAAAGATGGGGACAAGAAAGAGGATGACAAATGGCCTCCCCTTGGAGAGGGGTCTCAGGAGAGGCAGCCACAGGGAAGAGGCATCAGGAGAAGGGAACAGTGCCAGGGTGGGGGTGACAGCAGAGGAACCCCCCTTACCGTGGCGGCGCTGGCGTGGCGAGCAGCAAAGAGGACACACGGTGCATTCTGTGGGACAAGGGACACAGAGACCCCCCTGTCACCAGGGCAGAGCCTCTTTTTGGGGTGGGGGCAGCCAGGTGAGCACCCCCATCCCAGGTGAGACCTCGGTTCCCAAGGACGCCAGAGCCTCGCCCACGCGGGTGGGGATCAAAGCCGGCATCAAAGCCGGGATCAGCCGAGCCGGGATCAGCCGGGGCGGCCCCGCGCTGCCCTCGGGAGCCGGAGCTGGCACGGGGACCGCGGGTTCTCCTTCCTGGAGCCGCGCCCGGCCAGGAACGGCCGCGGTTTTCCTGAGCCGGGGAATCCGAACTTTGTTCCTCGCCCACGCGTGGGAACCGCGGGGACTCCCCGGGAACACAGCCCGGCCTTGGCAGCGCCCGCACCGGGAACACACCGGGGACGCACCGGGGGACACCAGGGCCGCCACCCACGGGGACACCGGCGATCCCCCGGGGCCCGGAGCTGCGGCAGCGCCTGCGGCAGAGCCAGAACATGACTCGGTTTTTCCACTGGCTGCCGGGAGGACGCGGGGGGGGCCGCTCTGCAGATTCCCCCCCAAAGTGTCGCCCGGTTCCCCGGTTCCCCCCGGTCCGGTCAGGGGGTCCCCGGTGGGGCGGGTGTGGCCGTGGCCGGTGGCGAGGCCGTGTCCCCCCTGCAACAGGCGGCACCGGGAAGGGAAAATGCCGGCGGAACAATGGAGGCGGCAGCGGGGAGCCCAAGGTCAAGGCGGCCGCTGTCGCCGCCGTGTCACCCCCGTGTCACCCCCGGTGTCACCCCCGTTTTGGGGGTCCCCACGGCTCGTCCCGGCTGTCACCGAGTGCCACCGGCTCAAGGTCACACGTGTTGGCGGTGACACCGGGCACCGGCCGGGGGGAGCGCGGGGGCACAGGGGGACCCTCCCGGGGGGTTCCCGTTGTGCCCGGGGGTGCGGGGCCTCCGCGGTTCGGGGCTGCGGGGTCAGGACGAGGGGAGGAAGAGGAGGAGGAGGAGGAGGGTCGGGATCACGGCTCAAAGAGGGGGGGCGGCTCCGGTCCGCTCGGTTTGACGGGGGAGCAGGGCCAAGTGGGGCATCGGGAATATCCCAAAATATCGCCCGGTCGATAAAGACACCGCAGCGCCCGTTACGAAACGCCGGGGCCGCGGCCAAGGCAAACACACCGGAGGGGCCGGGGCTGTTCCTCCGGCCCGGTACCGGCACACGGGGGTCCCCTCGCTGTGACCCCGGTGTCCTCTACGGCACCGAGACGCTGGGGAAGGGCGGTGGCGGCGGGGACCGTCCCCGCCTCTACCCCCCCTACTGCCGGTGCCACCGGGTGCGGGATCCCGGGGCCGGTGCGGGGCTTCCGGAACCCCCCACACCCAGCGCTGCACAACGAGGGGAAGCGGCAGGACCGGATCCCCAAGCGGAGCTGCCCCGGGGCGGGGGCCCCCGCTCGGGGCTGAGGCAGCAGCGGAGCTCCCCGGGCGTGGACCGGGCCCGGAGCCCCCCGAGCCACTCCCGGTGCCCCCGGCTCTGAGAAGCGCCCGGCGCCGGTTCCCACCACGTGCTGCCGCTGCGGCCCCGCGCCCACCCCGGTCCCGATCCCTATCCCGGTCCCGATCGCGGTCACCCCGGTCCCATCCCCCCTCCTCCGCCGCCACCGCGCGGCCCCTTTAAGGCAGCGCCCCCCGCGTCGCCCCTTTAAGAACCGGACCCCCCCGCTCTCCCTTCCCCCCGCGGCGTCGCCCCTTTAAGGCGCGGCGCGGCGAGGCCGGGCCGGGCGCGCTCACCTTGGGGCCGCGGAGGCGCGCGGCCGCCCGGCTGCCGGCGGCGAGGAGCGTCATGGCGGTACCGGGACGGGACAGGCCGGGGCTGAACGGGGCCGGGACCGGGAGCGGGGCCGGGACCGGGAGCGGGGCGGGAGCGGGGCCGGAGCGGCGGCGGCCGGGGGTCCTCAACGTGAGGGCGGGACGGAGCGCGGCGCGGGTTATTAGCATAACCCCGCCCCCTGCCGGGGCAGAGCCGTTTGCTATTGGTCAAGCGGCGCGCCGTGGGGCGGGGCTACGCTAATGAAGTGGCGGGGGGCGCAAGCTATAGGTGGCCGCCGCATTCGCCTGATCAGGACCAGGGGTGGGGTGAGGGGGTGCCCGCCCCGTCTCGTGACGTCACCGACCGCAGTGCGTGACGTCACGGCTCGGTGTCATCCCCGCGGCCGCGCCGATGTCCCGGTGGGGTTCGGCTGCAGGGGCGGGGGGCTGCCCCGTGACGTCACCAGGCGCTCGGCAGGGCGGTATGAGGTCACCAGAGCCCGTGACGTCATCCTATAGGTGGCCACAGTGGCTTGAGGTGATAGGATGTGGCATGAGGCTCAGCGGTGACGTCAGGGAGTGGCATGTCACCATGGCCGCTGAGGCCAGGACATTGTCCTGCTGGCCCGGGTGACACAATGGAGTGACATGGGGTGACACGGGGTAACGTGTGCCAGCAGAGGGGCAGAGCCCTCCTGCTGCTGCTGTCCCCTGGCCAGGTGACATGAGGTGACAAAGGGCACGGCAGAGAGGCCAGAACCTTCTCAGCGGCAGAGTGGGATGACAGCGGGTGGCAGCTGAGAGGTAGCACCACCATGGTGGATGGCATGAGGTGACAGAGGGTGACACAGGGTGACCAGGCATGGCTGAGGGGCTGTCACCCCATGGGTGACTTAGGGTGACACAGAGCCACCCATGAAGGGGGACAATGTGGGGACACTGCTGTCCCCACCCCGCCCACACACGCACCACACCAGAGCTGCCCACGGCCCCTTTATTGCCTGCAAAACAGAGGGGGGTCCCCAAGCCCCCCACCCCGAGCCCCGCTGTGTCCCCATGTCCCCTGGCAGCGGGGCAGGAATGTCCCTGAAATGTCCCCTCAGGAGCGAGGAGGTGGCCCCGGCCCCGTGGCCGTCCCGGTGGCCCCGGATGGGGAATAAATAGGACGGGAGCTCTGCATGGGGTGAGGCAGCCGGGGAGGTCCTGGAGATCTGTCTGTCCTGGGGACGTCCCAGTGGGTCCCAAGGATGTCTCAGTGGGTTCTGGGGACATCCCAGTGGGTCCCAAGGATGTCCCGGTGGGTCCCAAGGAGATCCCGGTGGGTCCTGGGGATGTCCTGGTGGATCCCAGGGACATCCTGGTGGGTTCTGGGGACATCCCAGTGGGTCCCAAGGATGTCCCGGTGGGTCTCAAGGAGATCCTGGTGGGTCCTGGGGACATCCTTGGGGACATCCCGAGGGTGGGTCCCGGCGCCGTCCCGGTCCCCGCTCCCGAGGCGGTCACAGCTCGTCGTGTGGGATGTGCAGTGCGTGGTCACACAGGTCTGTGGGGACAACGGGGGACAACGGGGCTGTGGGGGAGCCCAATGGAATTTTTGGGGTCTGCTGGAGTCCCCATGGGACTGTGACAGAACTGTGGGACCTTCCAGAGCCGGACCCCTGTGGGACCCCCAGGACATTGTTGGAGCCCCATGGGACCCTCAGGATGCACCAGACCCCCAGGACATGGCAGCCCTGTGGAACCTCAATGCTGGAGCCCTGTGGGACCCCCAGGACCCATCAGAGCCCTGTGGGACCCTCAAGATGCAGAGATCCCACAAGACCCTCAGGGGGACATCAGAGCCCTGTGGGACTGTGCTGCCCTGTCCCCTCCCAGGACCGGTCCCTGCTGTGACCCAAGCTGGCACCAGTGGCATTTCCCTGCCTTTGTCCTGTGGTTAGTGACAAATGTGGCTGTCTGGACACAGCCACAGCCTGGCCTGTCCCTGCTCTGTCCCCCACACTGCAGGAGGAGGCCCAGGAGCAGCTGTGGAGACCCTGAAGATCCCCTGGGGCAGAGCATTGCCCTGAAGGCTGTGCCAGCTGCAAAGGGACCTGCCCTGGCCCTGTCCAGGGCCCCGTCCAGGACTGCCCAAAGGTCACAGCGTGCCCTGACCTGGCTGTTTGTGAGCTGGAAATAGCCCCAGGATGGGACAGGGCCATTGGATGCGCCAGGAGAGGCCACAGAGTCAGCACAGCAGCTGCCCTGGCTCGGCCCCAGCATCCCAAAACAACCCCAGGGCCAGCAGGGTCCCGGCACTGCAGTGGGGTGCTGGGATTTGGGGAAGAATTTGAAACTCCTCCCTGCCGTGGGCTGGCAGAAAATCCCATCCCAGAACTGACAGAGCAGCCATGACCTCCAGGAACAGAGGGAGAGACCCCCCAGGAACAGCAGAAGAGACTCCCAGGAACAGCAGGAGAGACCCCCAGGAACAGCAGGAGAGACCCCATGGGACAGCAGGAGAGACCCAAGGAACAGCAGGAGAGACCCCCAGGAACAGCAGGAGAGACCCCCTGGGACAGCAGGAGAGACCCCATGAGACAGCAGGAGAGACCCCATGAGACAGCAGGAGGGACCCCCAGAACAGCAGGAGAAACCCCAGAACAGCAGGAGAGACCCCCAGGAGCAGCAGGAGAGACCCCCAGGAGCAGCAGGAGAGACCCCCTGGGACAGCAGGAGAGACCCAAGGAACAGCAGGAGAGACCCCCCAGGAACAGCAGGAGAGACCCCAGAACAGCAGGAGAGAACCCAGAACAGCAGGAGAGACCCCCAGGAACAGCAGGAGAGACCCCATGAGACAGCAGGAGAGACCCCCAGGAACAGCAGGAGAGACCCCCAGGAACGGCCCCAGCTCTGGGCCTGGTATCTCCTCCTATCCCAGCTCTGATGGAGCAGGAGGGACCCCCAGAACAGCAGCAAAGACCCCCAGGAACAGCAGGAGAGACCCCAGGAACAGCAGCAGAGACCCCCTGGGACAGCCCCAGCTCTGGGCCCAGCATCTTCTCCCATCCCAGCAGTGATGGAGCAGGAGAGAGACCCCTGGAAGTGCAGGAGAGAGCCCCTGGAAGAGCAGCAAAGACTCCCAGGAACAGCCCCAGCTCTGAGCTGGCATCTCAGCTCAGCTCAGCTCAGCTCATCCCAGCCCCAGGAGCAGCAGCAGAGCCCCCCAGGCCCCCATCTCACCCGTCCTCTTGCTGCAGAGCCGGTCCTTGACGTTGTCAGCCTCGTGTGACAGAAACTCGATCAGCTCGTCCTCGTACTCCTCAGCGATGCTCTCGCACTGCAACGGTGACACCGGTGACACCGCCAGCCCACGGGAGCCCCTCACTGTCCCATCCTGTCCCCATGTCCCTGTCCTCCCTTTCCCCCATCTCCCACCTGTCCTGCCCTGTCCCCACTGTTCCCCTGTCCCATTCTGTGTCCCCATGTCATTATCCTCCCTTTTCCCCCGTTTCCCACCTGTCCTGCCCTGTCCCCATGTCCCTGTCCTCCCTTTTCCCCATTTCCCATCCTGTTCCCACTGTTCCATCCTGTCCCCACTATCCCATCCTCTCCCCATATCCCTGTCCTCCCTTTTCCCCCATTTCCCACCTATCCTGCCCTGTCCCCACTGTCCCATCCTGTCCCCATGTCCCTATCCTCCCTTTTCCCCATTTCCCATCCTGCCCCCACTGTCCCATCCTGTCCCCACTGTCCCATCCTGTCCCCACTGTCCCATCCTGTCCCCATGTCCCTGTCCTTCCTTTCCCCCCCATTTTTCCCCCATTTTCCCCCCCTGTCCCCTCACACACAGCGAATTTCAGGCTGTTGATGACGTCCCCATCGAATTTGACCCCGGACAGGTCCATCTTGGTGCCGTCATGGGAGATGACTCTGACGTAGCTCTTGCGCTGCGTGGCCGGGTCCAGCTTCTCCCCGTACTCCTTCATCTTCTCGCACACCCGCTCCAGCAGCTCCGTCAGGTGCGCCTCGGACCGGGCGTACGGCACCTGCGGCCCCGGGGAGGGGACACCGGGAGGGCAGGGGTCAGCGGGGACACCAGGGGGACACCGGGAGAGGAACCGGGCAGGGGTCAGTGGGGACACCAGGGGGACACCGGGACAGGCCCTGGGCAGGGGTCAGTGGGGACACCAGGGGGACACAAGGAGAGGAACCAGGCAGGGGTCACAGGGACACCAGGGGGACACCGGGAGAGGAACCGGGCAGGGGTCAGTGGGGACACCAGGGGGACACCGGGAGAGGCAGGGGTCACAGGGACACCAGGGGGACACCGGGAGAGGAACCGGGCAGGGGTCAGCGGGGACACCAGGGGGACACTGGGACAGGCCCTGGGCAGGGGTCAGCGGGAACACCAGGGGGACACTGGGAGAGGAACCGGGCAGGGGTCAGCAGGGACACCAGGGGGACACCAGGAGAGGCAGGGGACACCAGGGGGACACTGGGAGAGGCAGGGGTCAGTGGGGACACCAGGGGGACACTGGGAGAGGCCCTGGGCAGGGGTCAGTGGGGTCCCCGAGAGCAGCCCCAGGGTGTGGGGATACCGGGAGTGGGGCAGAGGAGACAGGGAAGGACAGGGTGGGAAATGGGGGAAAGGGGGGACAGGATGAAATGGGGAGACAGAGCTGAGCAGGGGGACAGGGACAGAGGAGACAGCAAGACGGGACAGGAGGACAGGCCACAGTGGTGGCACAGGGCTTGGGGGTGTCCACTGGGGCCAGCTGGACCCCCAGGGGGACAGGCTGAGGGTCTCCAGCCCATGGGGACCCCTCCCCATCCCACACACCTCCCAGGAGTGGCCCTGGAGGTGGGCACACTGAGAGTGGCCTCAGGACACCGGGAGAGGCTCTAGGCTGGGGTCAGTGGGGACAGCAGGAGTGGGGACAGCGGGAGTGGGGACACCGGGACAGGCCCCAGGAACAGGGACACCGGGAGGGGCCTCACCTCCACCACGGACTGGCTGCCGTCGGGGTTGATGCGGAACGAGCCCATCTGGATGGTTTTTCTGGGATCCACCTGGGCAATTTCCCATTCCAGCTCATCCACCAGCGCCCGGCAGGCTGTGAGGGGACACGGTGACATGGGACACCTGGCACGCGTGCTCCTGTGGCTGCCCACAGCCAGACTGGTGTGACTGGGATGGGGAGGGGTCTCCATGGGCTGGAGACTCTCAGGCTGTCCCCTTGGGGGTCCAGCTTGTCCCATTGGACACCCCCAAGCTCTGTGCCACCACCCTGGCCTGTCCCCCCCTTGTCCTGTCTTGCTGTCTTTCTCTGTCCCTGTCCCCCTATTCAGCCCTGTCTGCCCATTTCTTCCTGTTCCCCTGTCCTCCCTTTTCTCTCCTTTCTCATCCTGTCCTGCCCTGTCCCATCCTGTCCCGATTATCCCTGTCCTCCCTTTCCCTATTTCCCACCTGCCCTGTCTCCACTGTTGCCCCTGTCCCACACTGTCCCCATGTCCCTGTCCTCCCTTTTACCCTATTTCCCATCCTGTCCTGTCCCATCCCATTCCCCGAATCCTATCCCATCCCATCTGTTCCCCCGTGTCCCCCCCTTGTCCCCCGTGTCCCCCCACACCTCCGCAGTGCAGGTCCTGGCTCCGGCGTGCTCCGGCCGCGGGCAGCAGCGATGCCAAGGCCAGGGCCAGGCCGAGCAGCATCCCCGGGGCTCCGCAGATTCCCGGGACCCGGCCCCGCATCCCCGGGGCTCCGCAGATTCCCGGGATCCGGTCTCGCATCCTCAGGGCTCCGCAGATTCCCGGGACCCGGTCCCGCATCCTCAGGGCTCCACTGTCACCTGCGGGCACGGGGCAGCTCCAGCGCTGTCACCTGCGGGCTCCGGGCGGCCCCGCTGTCCCCACACCCCATCCCGGGACTCCCGTTCCCTGCAGAGCCCGGCTCTGCTTAGGGCTTCATCCACGGTGTTCCCCGTCCCGGTCCGCTCTGAGTCCCGTTAATGCGGCTGGAGCCCACAGGGACCCCTCCCCATAGGGCACAAGCCAGAGCCCCACAGAGACCCCTCCCCATAGGGCAGAGCCCGTACAGAGCCCCCTCCCCATAGGGCAGACCTCCTACAGAGCCCCGTCCCCTACAGGGCACAGCTCAGAGCCCCTAGAGGGACCCCTCCCCTATAGGGCACAGTCCAGAGCCTCACAGAGCCCCCTCCCCTATAGGGCAGCGCTCAGCCGCCCCACAGAGCCCCCTCCCCTATAGGGCAGCGCTCAGCCGCCCCACAGAGCCCCCTCCCCTCCGGGATCCCCCACAGCCCCCTATGGAGCCCTTCGCCCCCACAGCCGAACCCATCGCCTTCCCCGAATCCCCCCCATCCCGAGCCCCGGGCCCGGCTGAGCCCCCCCCCCCGTCCTGCGCCCCCCGTACCGGCCGCTCTCCCGTCCCGCTCCCACCGCCCCTCACACCGGACCGGCTGCCCCGGGACTGCCCGCGGCGCCGCCGGTCCCGGCGCGCCCCCCCGACCCGCACCGCCGCGGGTCACGGCGGCTCGGAGCGGGAAGCGGCGGAGCCGGAGCGGGCGGCGGAGCCGGTCGGACCGGTCAGACCAGAAGGGGAGGCTCTGAGAGCCGCGGCGGGGCCGTTCCGCGAGCAGGCGGTGCCGAGGGCAGCCCCGGACGGACGCCGAGGGCCCCGCCGTTGCCAGGGCCCGGCCGCGTGGCGCTCGGCCCCGAGTGGGCGGGGCCTGCCGTGACTCCGCCCGCTGGAGCGGTGTGGTCACGCCCCCTCCCGGCTCAGCCGCGACCCGGGGACCGGGACCGGGATCGGGTTGGTCCCGCCGTGCCCCCGCTTTGAGTCCCGGACCGCGTTTGGGTCCTGGTCCTTCCCGCCGTGCCTCCGGTCTGAGCCCCGGACCGAGCCTGAGCCGGGTCCGTCCTGCTGTGCCCCCGGTCCGGTCTCGGTCCGTCCCGCCGTGCCCTCGGTCTGAGCACCGACCCGAACCTTGTCCTTCCTGCCGTGCTCCCGGTGCTGGTCCCGTTCCGAGCCCGGTCCCGGTGATTCCCGCCGTGTCCCCGGTACCAGCCCCGCTCCCTGCTCTGTGCCCGATCCGGGACCTTCCCGGTCCCGGTCCGGTTCCTCCGTGCCGTGCTCCCAACCCCAGCCCCGATCCTTTGTGCCGTGCCCCAGTCCCGGTGCCGCCCCCCGGAGCCAAGGAGGACACGGTCGCACGGGGGTCCGAGGCTGCTTTATGAGGGCGCCCGGTCCGGCGGGCGAGCGGGGCGGGGGTCGGGCAGTGCTTCCCGGTACCGGCAGGGAAAGGCAGGGGAGCCCCGGGGCGCCGGGCCCGGGGCGGGGTCGGGCAGGTCGGGGACAGCCCCGGGCCCGCTGCTGGTTCCAGTTCCACGCTCTGTGTCCGGTCTGTTCCCGGTGCCGTGTCCGGTCTGCTCCCGGCGCTGCTCCTCGCGGGGGATCCGGTCACAGGGCCAGCACCGGCGGGAACACGGCCCCGTCTGTGGGGACACCGCGGTGACAGGGGACATGGGGACATGGGGAGGGAGGACACGACAGGGGGGACAGGGGACATGGGGAGGAGAGAGGGGACATGGGGAGAGAAGGGACACTGCGGTGGCAGGGGACACTGGGGGGAGAGGGGACACTGGGACATGGCAGGGGGAGAGGGGACATGAATGTGAGGGGACACAGGGAAAGGAGAGGGGACACTGCCGGGTGAGAGGGGACACGGGGACATGGCAGGGGAGAGGGGACACTGGGGTGACAGGGGACACCGGGGGGAGAGGGGACACAGGGGTTAGAAAGGACATTGGGATGACAGGGGACACGGGGAGGGGACACAGGGAGGGGAGGGGACACCAAGGTGACAGGGGACACCGGGGGGAGAGGGGACACGGGCAGGGGAGAGGGGACGGGGGGGGAACACGGCCCCGTCTGCGGGGACACGGGGGTGAGAAGGGACACAGCAAGGTGAGAGGGGACACGGGGAGGGGACAGGGGACATGGAGGAGGGGACAGCGGTGCCATCTTACGCTTGGGGCTGCTCTGGCTGTCGGGCTCGGGCACCTTCCAGTCCAGCTTTCGGCCCTTCTCGTAGAGCCCCTTGAGCACCTTGCGGAACTCCTCGGGCTCCGCGCCCTGCGGGCTCAGCTCCAGGTACTTGCGGTAGAGCTGCAGCGCCGTCCGCGCGTCCTCGATGCTGTCGTGGGTCTCCCCCTGGATCTTCAGGTCTGCGGGGACACCCCCGGATCAGCGGCGGGACCCTCCGGGAGGGCCCCGCCCCTTCCCGGATCCCGGAGCTGCGGTACCGACCCAGGAAGTACCAGGCGAGGAAGCGCAGGGAGATCATCCTCTTCCTCGGGATGTGGAACAGGTACACGGTGTCGATCACCTGGTCCTTGGGCACCTGGGGGGGTGGCACGGAAATAAATATTTTATAAAAAAATCATTCAGTTAGGATGGTTTTCTCCTGAGAAACTGAGAGGCCTCAGAAATTAAATGTAAACAATAATTATCTGATGCTGTGGAATGCAACAGGTGCATCTTTGATTGGTCTCAATTTGATTGATTTAATTAATGGCCAATCACAGTCCAGCTGTCTCGGACTCTCTGAGAGTCACAAGATTTTATCATTCCATTATTTTCCTTTCAAGCCTTCTGATGAAATCCTTTCTTCTATTCTTTTAGTATAATTGATATATTTTAAATTATTATAAGGTATATTAATATAATTATGATATATTTTAATATATATCAGAAAATAATAAATCAGCCTTTCTGAAATATGGAGTCAAGATTCTCGTCTCTTCTTTCTCATCTCTTCAATTCTTTTAGTATAGTTTTAATATAATATATATTACATATTTAATATAATATTTATATATATTTATTATATATATTAAATATATAGTATATATATTTATTATATATTTTTAATATAATATATATAATAAAATAATAAATCTGCCTTTCTGAAACATGGAGTGAAGACTCTCATCTCTTCTTTCTCATGTCTTCTATTCTTTTAGTATAGTTTTAACATAATATATATTCTATATATATTATATATATTATATATAAATATATAAATAATATATAAATATATATAAGATATAAATAATAATATGTATTTATAATAATTTCCTACAATATACAATAACATAATGTATAAATATATATTAAATAAATAGAACATATATTTAATTGAATATATTAATTATATATTATATATATTAAATATATGGATTTATTATATATGTTTAATATAATATATTAATTATATATTATATATATAATATATTAAATATATAGACTTATTATATATGTTTAATATAATATATATCATAAAATAATAAATCTGCCTTTCTGAAACAAGATTCCCATCTCTTCCCCTGTTGGGGTTGCCTGCAAATTCCCCAGGGGAGGGGACAGGGTCCTGCTGCAGGGTTAGAGACCCCTCCCAGCCCCACCCCAGTCCCCCACCATGGCCAGGGAGGGGGGGTCAGGTTGTCACCATCAGGTTGATGACACGGAAATCCTTCTGCAGCCCGTGGCCCACAAACTTGACTCCCACATCGATGAGGAAACGCAGCTTCAGGTAGGTGGATTTGAGGGTGGTCAGGTGCTTGGAGGAGATCTTGGCATCCAAATCTCCTGGCTTGATCCCAGAGTATTGGGTCAGGTAATCCACCACCTGTGGAGATCAGGGCACCTGGAAGGGGCTGCAGGGACCAGGGGCTCTGCCCCCTCCTCAATTCCCCTCTCAGCACCCTGGGGAGGGGGCTGGTGGTGTAGGACAACAGCCCCAGGTGGCCATGGAGGACATGGGAGTGCAGGTGAGGACATGGGAGTGCAGGTGAGGTCACCAGAGGGCACAGGGGAACACCCAGGTGTCCATGGGGAGCACCCAGGTGTCCATGGGGAGCACCCAGGTGTCCATGGAGAGCACCCAGGTGGGTGGGTGTCCGAGTGAGGTCACCATGGAGGACACAGGGGAGCACCCAGGTGTCCATGGAGAGCACCCAGGTGTCCATGGAGAGCACCCAGGTGTCCAGGTGAGGTCACCATGGAGAACCCAGAGTTGTCCAAGTGAGGTCACACAGAGAACACGCAGGAGCCCAGGTGAGGTCACCATGGAGAGCCCAGAGTTGTCCAAGTGAGGTCACCATGGAGAGCACACACATACCCAGATGAGGTCACTGTCACCTGCAGAGCAGGCCCATGTCCCTCCTGGTGGCCTGGAGAGCAGCATGAGGCCACCTGGACCCCCATACCTGTTCCTGGGTGGAGATGTAGTCGTCGATGAAGGGCACACCCTCGTTGGGACCCTGCCCACGCACGCAGGTGATCCGCGCCACCGACATCTGGCTGGGCTTGATGGTGGACTTGGTGCCATCACTGCGCAGCTCGGCCTCCTCCTGCCACCAAGGACGGGACACGTGGTGACCAACAGCCCCAGAGGGTGACAGGGGACACGAGGAAGGGGAGAGGGGCCATCCCTGCTCCCTGTCCCTTTGTCCCTTTCTCCCCAGAGCTCCCCCACCTCGTTGAGCGTGACGAACTCGGCGTCCAACCCCACCAGGTCTCCAGCTTGGGGCATCTCATTGAGCATCAGGGGGATGAAGGTGGCGTGGCACTTGCGCTGCTTGCGGGCCAGGGACGCCTCAGCCAGGAGCACGCTGGCCTCGATGGGGTTCTTGACTGTGCAGGGAAAGGGGAAGGAGCTCAGCGGTGCCACCACGGCGGCGCCACCGCCACCACTTCCACGTCCCCTCCCGGGGAGGGGGGCACTCACTGACGAGGTTGTACTTGGAGTTGAGGTTCCTCCTGGCATAGTAGAGGATGGCTGGAACCTTCCAGCTCATGTCAAACTGCACAGCTTCGCACTGCGGCGGGGCAGAGGGGACGCTCAGGGACAGCCCTGGTGGCTCCACGCTCCACGAGCAGTGGAGTCACCTCGGCGCTCACCTTGTCCACGGGCTCGATGAGGAAGTCGTTGAAGAGGTACCACTGCTGGTGAGTGACTCCCTGAAGCGGGGGGGAAAAAGCACAAGCAGTGACTCCTCTGCCTGCTTACCAGGGAAAGGAGGGTGTGACTGTGCCATGTGGGAACCCCCGCCCTTCCTGGGACACCGTGGGGAAATCCCTGCTGCCCTGGGTGGTGACAAAGGACGAGAAAGGATTGGGCTGGACGGGCTCTGGGCTCTGCCCAGCTCCTGAGCAAAACTCCAGGGAGATGCAAGAGATAAGAGACAGGGATGGAGACTTGACACACTCTGGGAAATCCTGCCTTGGGCATCTCCAGCAGAAACCAGGACTGCCCAGACCAGCCCTTTCCTCGGGAAGGGAGATGACGTCCCTGCCCTTACCTGGAAGTACAAGGACAAGCTGGCACCGTGCCCGTGGCCAGGAGGAACCAGCTTGAGTGGGTGTGGGAAGAAGATTTCTTCAACCCTTCCCTCCCCCTGAGGGGCCCCAGCAGCTCTTGGCACGTTCAGCCCAAACCTCCAGAGAGATCTCAGAATGAGATGGCAGCTCTCCCTGGTGGGGGCCCAGCAGGGTCTCACCTCCTTGCGTTGGTGGTAGGTCTCTCCCACCTTGATGTGCCCCACCAGGCTGCCCCCAGTGCGGGAATCCAGGATGTGCACAACGGTGGCCATGAGGTCGTAGATGTACACGGACTCGGGGTCATCTGTTGGGCTCAGCTGAGGGAGGAATTAGGAATGTCTGAGCCCCCACCCCCAAAACCACCATTTTTGGACATTTCCATGCTCCCCTGAGCTATCTCCTCATCATCCCTCAGCAGAAAGTGGTTCTGAGGCAGCTCTGCTCCCACAGCCCCACGTGCCTCTGTCAGTTCACCCACAGAATTCATCCCCGATTCTGTGACTTCACCTGTGGTGGCTCTGTCACCTCACCCACGCTGATTTTGTCACTTTACCTCATCGGTCTCGCTCCAGTTGCTCACATCGAGCTCTTTGCTCTTGGTCAACCTCATCTTGATGGCGTGAGGGATCCAAATGTTCTTCAGTTCCTCCACGGAAGGATACGAATGCCCCGTGTCGGGGTTCCCCAGATCCTTCCTGCACGGGGAATCATGGAAAGCTGAGCTGGAGGGAGGAGATGTCATCCAGGCCAGCTGATTTTCTGTGATTTTCTGTGATTTTCCTGAAATTTCTGTGGCAAGCTGGAGCTGCCTGGAGCAGGACTCTGGGAGAGGTGCTCAGCCAATGTGGTTTTGGGGCTTTTGTCAGTTACACAAGGGGCACAAGGTGGGTGACAAAGGGGATGTGGTGCAGGTTATCAAATTAACATTATTTACATGAGAAATATCCCAGAGAAACACCCAGGAGGTGTCACTGCTCACAGGTGCCACCCCAGGAACAGAATCCTAGAATCCTTGAGGTTGGAAAAGCTTTCCAAGGCCACCAAGTCCAACCTCTGGCCAATCCTCACTTTGTCACCCAGACCAGAGTGCCACAACCACTCATTCCTTGGCCACCTCCAGGGATGGTGACTCCCTGGCATGTTCCAGCTCTTTCCATGAAGAAATTCCTCCTGAATTGTCACCTACCAGTCTCCAAGAGAGATCTCCTTTCCCTTGGTGATGTCAAAGCCTCCTCTCTTCATCATGGCTTTCTGAAAGGAATACTGGCAACGAAACACAGGCAAGCATCAGCACACGGTGACAGGCCAGCCCTGGGGACACTTGGGTGACAGCCAGGCCAGGAGCAGGGAAAATATTTAATATTAAAAGTTGGTGACAGGGAAAAAAAAAAAAACAAAGGAAAACCCAACGTCCCAAGGTGCTCCCGGGGGGGCTGGGGGAAGGACAAAGTCACTCCTGCAGTCCCTTCAGCTCTGCCACGCCAGGAGATCTCATCTTTTCCGATTCCAAAGGTACAAACCATGCCCCAGGCATGACCCAAACTGCACCAGGTCCTCAGGTGGAGGGAGAGAGGCCAGAGCCAGCGAGAGCAGAGTGAAAACCTCGGCAGGGCCGGGCACCTCAACCCCAGCGTGCCGGGACAACGGGCCCCGAGTGTCTCCCCCACCTCAGCCTGTGTCTTCCAGAAATCTGCCTCCTTGGAGCTGTTCACCTCACAGTTAATGACCAGCACGTCTGGCAGGCAGCGGATGTTCCTGGTCTGCACCTGCAGGGAAGAGGGAGAGGTGGGAATGAGAGCACAGAGAAGGATTTTGGGGCATCCGAGCAGGATTTGGGACATCCGAGTGGGATCTGGGACATCCGAGTGGGATTTGGGACATCTGCCACTGCCTGGCTGCAGTCCTGGGGGCACTTCCAGGATTGGAGAGCTGCTCCAGCAGCTCTTCTCTTTGTGGGGGGAGGTTGTTTCTCCCTGCTGAATCCCTGCCCCTGTGAGAGGAATTCACAGAGCCCAGGAAATACCAGGAACCGAATCTCTGGCATCCACTCAGGAGGTTCCCCAGTGACTCAGGGAGAAACTGCCCCACTCATGCCCGTGTCCCACAGCCCCTCGTGCCTGTGCCCCCTTGCCAGCCTCACCGTGGGCTGGTACTTCTCACAGTTCTCACACCAGGCTTGTGTGTTCTGCTCCAAGCAGATGCTGCGCTTTAAAATTTGGGCGAACTCGTAATCCTTGGCTGGTTTTTCTGGAGGGAGAAAGGAGAATAACGTCACCTCCCCGAGCACACAAACCTTGACCAACTGAGCTCAGCCAAACCTCTGGGGTTTTCCTCGTAACCACCAACCAGAAGGTCAAGCCCCAAAAGTGTCTTTTGAAAGCCAAAAGCTCGGCTGGTTGGAAACCCACCCCTGGAGCTCAGGCAGCTCCTGGTTGTGGGTGTGTTCCAGCTGGAAAAAATCATGGATGCCAAACCCCACCCAGCTGAGGGGCCTGGGCCCTGCTGTTACCGGTGCTGTCGGGGTAGGAGAGGGTGAAGAGCAGCGTGGAGGACACACGGACAGTCTCCTTCCCACAGCGGCACATGCTGCAGTTCTCCATCTCACAACTGAACAGCTGCCCGATCACAGAGTCCCCCGAGGAGCCAAAGCTGCTGGAAAAACAGCACTGGGATCAGCAGAGATCCCTAAGCTGGGGAGCCACAGCTCCCAAAATCCTTCAGATTTTGAGGAATCAGCCATCTGAGCTGTCCCAACCTTCCAAGCCCCTCTGCAAAGCCTCAAAACAGGTTTTAGGGGGCAGAGGCTCAGCACAATGTTCAAATATGTGAAGAGCTGTAATTCCCACGGATCCCTCAAGGCATCCCAAACTTTCCAAGGGATGGGTGGGGTCTCTGGTGAGCAGTCCCCCTCCCCAGCTTGGCTCGTTCCCTGTCCCATCCCCATGGCAGGGCCTCACCTGCTGCCAGCCCCCCTGTAGGCCTGGGGTCCCTCCTGCTCTTGGGTTTCCTGGTGCAGCTGAGTCAGGATGAAGCGGTTCCAGCTCTGAATCAGCCTCCCCAGGTTCACCTTCCCCGTGGCTTCATCTGAATCTGCCAGGATCAAGCCCAGAGCCGACGCCTCCGGGATGGTGCGGAAAGCCCGCAGAAAATTGCTGCCCTGGGCATGGGGCAAGAGCAATGAGAACAATGTCCCCAAGGTCAAGTGACAGGAGTTTCCATCTGCCTGCCCAGCACCACACCCTTGGGCAGCCCAGCCCAGCACAGACCTGGCAGGGATCTCCTCTGGACAAATCCAGCATGTGGAAGAGCAAGCCCAGCTCACAGCCCAAGCAGAATTCCTTCTGGCACAGGTGGTTCTGGACCAGGCAGCGAACTGGCTCCAGGAAATACAGGACCTGGGAGAGAAGAACCAGCATTTAGGGGGGCTCTGGGGGGGTCACACACAGGGGTTTGGGTGGGACTGGGGCAGCTCCCACCTGGATCATGCAGTTGCAGTAAGCGTTGGGAATGTGGGGCTCCAGCCCTGCAAACAGCGTCTTGTTGTAATGCTTGAAATCAAAATCCTCCAGCCCCAGCTTGGAGTATTTGATGGTGACCTGAGCAGAGATGTGACAGGTGAAAAAAACACCTCCCCATGCATTCTTTTCCCCATTGTGCCCCAGAGCAGCCCCCCAAAACCACCACCCACCTTCCTGTACTTCTTGGCCACCCTGTAGAGATGTGGCTCCTCCTCACGCCCGATCGGGGACTCGGGGACTTGGCTGAAGTTGTCAAACTCGTTGTCCATCTCCTTTAACCTGTAAGGAATCTTGGAGCAGGGAGAGAGGAGAAGGGGTGAGCAGCTGAACCCTGAGGTGGGGAGAAACCCCACAAGCAGCTCCTGGGCTTTCCTGCTTCCCTGAATGAGCAAAGGGATCCACCAGAGCACAGTGGGGCCCTCCCTGGACCTGCACCTTCCTGCTGGCAGGGATTTGTCACTGTGGGAAAGCACAGGGCAGTGTTTTCCCAAGGCTGAGGGACGTGCCATGAACCTCCCAACAGCTCAGACCTTCCCTGCTGCCCTCAGAGCCACGGAGGGATGGAGCTGGGAATTCCAACTCCATCCCTCTGCCTGCTCAGGAGAAGCTGCCACCTCCAAACTCCACCTGCACCACCCCGAGGGAATGGGATGGGACTCCTGAAACCTGGGGGGATCCCTCAGCACGCACAGAGCTCCATCCTCTCCCAGGCTGCAGAGTTCTACCCTCCCAAAATTGCCCCTCCTGGCGGTGGGTACCTGGTTACGGAGCTTGGTCCTGGGGTTTGGGGCATAGCCGATGAACCCCACCTTCTTCATGGTGCGCAGGATTTCGGGATCCACCGGAGGGGCTCGCCTGGAAACAGCCCCTGGCTCAGAGCAGCATCTCCCACCCACCCAAGGGGGGCTCAGGGACCCACCCTGAGGGCGTCCTGAGCGTTCCCCCCTCCCCAGGTTTTCATTTTTCATCCCAATAACAGGGCAGCAGTGCTGAGCATGAGGGTTTTAGGGGTAGGAAGAGGGAAAAGGAGATTCCACAGGGGCAGAGCAGAGGAAGGATCCCACTGGGATCCACTGGGGGGCTCGCCTGGAAACAGCCCCTGGCTCAGAGCAGCATCTCCCACCCACCCAAGGGGGGCTCAGGGACCCACCTTGAAGGGGTCCTGAGTGTTTCCCCCCTCCCCAGGTTCATTTTCCAACTCAGTAAGGGACACACCAGGGCAGCAGTGCTGAGTGTGGGGGTGTTGGGGGTAGGAAGAGGGAAAAGGAGATTCCACAGGGGCAGAGCAGAGGCAGGATCCCACTGGGAGTGGGAGGGAGGGAGGGAGGTTGGACCATGTCCCACCATCCTCACACCTGCACAGTCACACCTCCACCGCGGGAAACTCATCTGGCGTTTCCCAGGCAAGCAGGAATGATGCCTTAGGATTCAGCTTTTGTATTTTTCAGACCTTGTACTGCTTTAGTGTGTAACTCTACAACTCCACAGCCTGTCAGCTGCTGTTCTCTCATTTTATTTACATGAAACAATTCCTCTCTGACACTCAAGGACACCTGACTCAAACTCCTAGAGATGTAAACAACAGTGAATTGAGGGGGGGCAAACTTGGAGTAAATAACTCCATTATCTCAGGCTGTAATTGGAGTAAATAACTCCATTGCCTGAGGCTGTAATTGGAGTAACTCCATTACCTGAGGCTGTAATTGGAAGAAATGCCTCCATTACCTGAGGCTGTAATTGGATTAAGTAACTCCATTACCTGAGGCTGTAATTGTAGGATTAACCCCTGATATGTAAATGAACCAAATTTATAAAAGTGTGAAAAACTCACAACCAACATCTTAGGTGTAACCTCTGGTTGACTTTAACTACCCAAGGTGCACCTATTGAAATTGGAGGAAATGCTTCCATTACCTGAGGCTGTAATTGGAGTAAGTAACTCCATTACCTGAGGCTGTAATTGGAGGATTAAACCCTGATATGTAAATGCACCAATTTTATAAAAGTATAAAAGTGTGAAAAACTCACATCTTGGGTGTAACCTCTGTGCGACTTTACGCAAGGTGCACCCATTGAAATCCTTCAATAAAAACCTGCTTTTAATTTAATTTAATCCCTCTATCCTCTGTTTTAGGCATGAAGAAAGAGAGGGACTGTGCCAGAGTGGGAATCTGGGAATTCTTTCAGTGGGAATCTGGGAATTACCTCGGTGCAGGGGCCGAGTTGGCGGCCGGCCAGTCGGAGAGCAACGCGTCGCTGGTCAGCGGCACCGGGATCAACGACAGAGGCACCAAATCCTGGTTCCAATCCAGGTGTGGCAGCGTGTCCACCATGCAGGGCAGGGCAAAGTCGGTCTCACGGGAGTAGGCGTTGAAAGTGACCTCTGGGGAGTCAGCCCAGAGGTGGACACAGCCCTCAGAGTCACCAAAAGCCAGCGCCTGCTTGCTGGCGCTCACGTCGAAGGTCATGATGAGCGGCCCCACGGTGTTGACGTGGAAGATGTCAGCGGGGTTGGCCAGCCCGGTGGGCTCACAGAACTGGCACTGGCCTGGGGAGGAGGGAAAAGGGGGAAATGTGGTGCTAGGAGTGGGTGGGAGGCAGGAGGTGATGGCACGCAGGGGGCAGGATGGTGGATGTGGGATGGCGGCGCTTGGGTGAGCGTTGTGGAGTGTCCTGGGTGGGAAGGGAACTACAAGGAGCAAAGTGCAGCTCCTGGTCCTGTGTAGGACAAGCCTAAAAGTTTCCCAGTTCCCAAATCCCAACACCTGAGAGTGTTGTCTCTGACCTCTCAAATTATGGAATATCCTGAGCTGGATCATCAAGTCCAACTCCTGTTCTTGCATTGGACAAGCCCAAAATTTCGTCAAATCCCCAAATCCCAAACACCTGAGAGTGTTGTCTCTGACCTCTCAAATTATGGAATATCCTGAGCTGGGTCATCAAGTCCAACTCCTTTTCTTGCATAGGACAAGGCCAAAATTTCCTCAAATCCCCAAATCCAAACACCTGAGAGTGTTGCCCCTGACCTCTCAAATTATGGAATATCCTGTGCTGAAAGGAACTCACAAGGATCATTGAGTCCAACTCCTGTTCTTGCACAGGACAAGCCCAAAATTTCCTCAAATCCCCAAATCCCAAACACCTGAGAGTGTTGCCCCTGACCTCTCAAATTATGGAATATCCTGATCTGAAAGGAACCCACAAGGATCATTGAGTCCAACTCCTGTTCTTGCACAGGACAAGCCCAAAAGTTCTTCAAATCCCCAAATCCCAGCACCTGAGAGTGTTGCCCCTGACCTCTCAAATTATGGAATATCCTGTGCTGAAAGGAACTCACAAGGATCATTGAGTCCAACTCCTGTTCTTGCACAGGACAAGCCCAAAATTTCCTCAAATCCCCAAATCCCAAACACCTGAGAGTGTTGTCCCTGACCTCTCAAATTATGGAATATCCTGATCTGAAAGGAACTCACAAGATTATTGAGGCCAACTCCCAGCCCAGCACAGGACAAGCCCAAAAATTCCTCAAATCTCCAAATCCCAGCACCTGAGAGCGGTGTCCAAACAGTCCCTGACCTCTCAAATTATGGAAAATCCTGAGATGAAAGGAACCCACGTGGACCATTGAGTCCAATGCCTGTTCTTGCACAGGACAACACCAAAAATTCCTCAAATCTCCAAATTCCAACACCTTAGAGCATTGTCCCTGACCTCTCATAAACCCATAAACCCCATTAACCCCATAAACCCCATAAACCCCATAACCCCAGGTTTTGGGTTAGGCTTTTCCAGATTATGGGGAGCATTCCTGACACTCCTGGATGCTCCAAACCAGGGAAGGCAGCTCAGGCTTTCCCCTGGATAAATAAAAAACCCCAACACGACCCCACAGCAGTGACAGGGGAAGCAGTGAGAGCTTTTGTGCTCGGACAATTTCCAAGGACAGATAAAGGGGGGAGAGAAAGATTTTAGAAATGGAATTTTAAGGAATTTTTGATAGAAATGTCACGCCCAGCATGACCTCACCTGTCTGGGAGATGATGGCCAGGCGGGAGGTGTAGGTGGGGATGAAGCGCAGGAAGAAGGGGTCGATGTGGACCTGCAGGGGGGTGGTGGCCCTCATCATCCTGAGGTCATAGACCTTGAGGAACCGGTCACAGGCCAGGCCATTCATGCGGCTGGAGAAGCCACAGGTCACCAGCAGGTTCCCGTGCACGTCAAAGTCCGACAGGCTCCCGGAGTGGGCGTCAAACTCGTGCTCCACCACGAAGGTGCGCAGGTCACGCAGGGACACCTGAGAGGGGAGGGCCTGGCTGTGGTCACCCAGGCTCTGGAGGTCTGGGAAGAGCTGAAATGTTGGGATTTTTCCCTCCCTGAACAGGGGTTACCTTGCCTGAGGTGTGGCCGCAGAAGAAGAAGCGGTTGGATTGCCTCATGATGGTGATGCCGGGCACCTCCACAGTGTACTGGGAGACAGGTGGGGAGGGCAGAGATCAGCAAAGGGCAGGGAAGGGCAGGGATAGGCAGGGAGGGAGCAGGGATGGAGCAGGGATGGACAGAGAAAAGCAGGGATGGGCAGGGATGGGCAGGGATGGGCAGGGATGGGCAGGGATGGGCAGGGATGGGCAGGGAAAAGCAGGGATGGACAGGGATGGACAGGGAAAAGCAGGGATGGGAGCAGGGATGGACAGGGATGAGCAGGGATGGGCAGGGATGGACAGGGATGGACAGGGATGGGAGCAGGGATGGGAGCAGGGATGGGAGCAGGGATGAGAGCAGGGATGGGAGCAGGGATGGGAGCAGGGATGGGAGCAGGGATGGGAGCAGGGATGGGAGCAGGGATGGGAGCAGGGATGGGAGCAGGGATGGGAGCAGGGATGGGAGCAGGGATGGGCAGAGAAAAGCAGGGATGCCCAGGGAAGAGCAGAGATGAGCAGGGAGGAATCCCAGAGCGAAGCTCCAGGGAGCAGCCCCCAGCCCAGCCACACCTTCTGTGTCTCCTGGACAGTGTTGAGGTCCATCTCCAGCACGTGGTTCTGCAGCCCAGCCACCAGCAGGGTGTTGTTGTCTGTCAGCAGGAGGCTGTGCATGTCCTCGGATTCATCCATGCTGGGGGACAGGCAGGACACCCTGAGACCCCTGAGGCTCCTGAGAGCTCAGAGACTCCTGAGAACCCTGGGACCCCTGAGATCCCTGAGACCCCTGGGAATCCTGAGGCTCCTGAGAGCTCAGAGACCCCTGACACACCTGAGACTCCTGAGATCCCTGACACACCTGAGACTCCTGAGGCTCCTGAAACCCCTGGGACCCCTGAGACCGCTGAGGCTCCTGAGACTTCTGACACCCCTGAGAATCCTGAGACTCCTGAGAGCTCAGAGGCCCCTGACACACCTGAGACTCCTGAGGCTCCTGAAACCCCTGAGACCTCCGAGGCTCCTGAGACCCCTGGGACACCTGAAGCTCCTGAGACCCCTGACACCCCAGAGACCCCTGAGGCTCCTGACACCTCAGAGACTCCTGAGACCCCTAACACTCCAGAGATCCCTGACACACCTGAGACCCCTGAAACCCCAGAGATCCCTGAGACCCCAGAAACCCCAGACACACCTGACACCCTAGAGACCCCTGAGACCCCTGACACACCTGAGACCTCCGACACCCCTGAGACTCCTGATGCACCTGAGACCCCTGAGACCCCAGAAACCCCTGACACACCTGAGATGCCTGAGATCCCTGAGACCCCTAAAGCTCTTGAGACCCCTGAGACCTCTGAGACCCCTGACACACCTGAGGTTCCTGAGACCCCTCTGGCAACCATGGGGTACGTGGGGAGGTGGGGGAGCTCTGGGGAGGTTCTTGAGAGGTTTGGGAGGCTCTGGAGAGGTTTTGGGAAGATCTGGAGAGGTTTTGGAAGCTCTGGAGAGCTTTTGGGAAGCTGTGGAGACCCCTGACACTCCAGAGTTCCTTGAGACCCCTGAGACCCCTGAATCCCCAGAGACCCCTGACATCCCAGAGACCTCAGAGACCCCTGAGGTTCCTGAGACCCCTGAGACCTCTGAGACCCCTGACACACCTGAGACCCCTGACACTCCCCACACCCCTGACACACCTGAGACCCCTGAGACCCCTGCCCAGCCCCTGGAGGGGCCAGGAGCACTCACAGGTAGTCGAAAATGATGAGGCCTCCCCGGGACAGGTACTTGAGGTTGGATTTGGTGAGGAAGAGGACGCCGTTCTCCAGGCTCTGGATCTGGCGGATGTCGTCGCTGCTGTTCACCTGGAAGGAGGAGTAGCGCTCCAGAGTGGGCCCGAAGAAGGAGGTGGCGTGGCCCTGAAAGGAGAGGGGACAGGGATGTCACAACCCCATGTCCCAGTGCGTGTGACACAGCTGAGTGTTGCTTCATCCTCTGCCACATCCTGGATTTTCCAGGTTACGGGGGCATTCCTGACACTCCAGGGAAGGCAGCTCAGGCTTTTCCCTGGATAAATAAAAAATCCCAGCATGTCCCCTCTGCCCTGAAAGCAGAGGGGACAAAGATGTCACAACTCCATGTCCTGGTGGGTGTGACACAGCTGAGCCTGACTTCATCCTCTGCCAGATCCAGGTTATGGGGGTTTTCCCCTCTAGAGCTTCCAAAACCTCTCCAGAGCTTCCCAAAACATTTCCAAAGCTTCCCAAAGCCTTCCCAGATCTTCACAAACCTCCCCAAACCTCTCCAGAGCTTCTAAAACCTTCCCAGAGCTTCCAAAAGCTCTCCAGAGTTTCCCAAAATCTTCCCAGATCTTCCCAAACCTCCCCAAGACCTCTCCAGAGCTTCCAAAACCTCTCCAGATATTTCCAAAACCTTTTGAAAACCTCTCCACAGCTTCCCAAAACCTCTCCAGAGCTCCCCAAACCTCTCCAGAACCTCCCAAAACCTCTCCAGAGCCTTCCCAAACCTTTCCAGATCTTCTCAAACCTTCCCAAGCCTCTCCAGAGCTTCCAAAACCTTCTCAAAACCTCTCCAGAGTTTCCAAAACCTTCACAAAACCTCTCCAGAGCTCCCCAAACCTTCTCAGAACCTCTCCACGGCTTCCCAAAAGCTCTCCAGAGCTTCCAAAACCTCTCCAGATCTTCCCAAAACCTCTCCAGAGCTTCCCAAAACCTCTCCAGAGCTTCCCAAAACCTCTCCAGAGCCTTCCCAAACCTTTCCAGATCTTCTCAAACCTTACCAAAACCTCTCCAGAGCTTCCAAAACCTCTCCAGAGCTTCCCAAAACCTCTCCAGATCTTCCCCAAACCTCTCCAGATCTTCCCAAACCTTTCCAGATCTTCCCAAACCTTACCAAAACCTCTCCAGAGCTTCCAAAACCTCTCCAGATCTTCCCAAAACCTCTCCAGAGCCTTCCCAAACCTTTCCAGGTCTTCTCAAATCTTCCCAAAACCTCTCCAGAGCCTTCCCAAACCTCTCCAGAGCCTCCCCAGAGCTCCCCCAGCTCCCCACGTACCCCGTGGTTGCCGACCCAGAGCATCTCCTCGTGCAGGTCGAAGTGCGCCACGGCCACGGGCACGCCGACCTCGGAGACGGCCGTGTGCAGCTCGCTGTAGATGCCCTCCATCAGGGGCACGGGGTCGGGCACCGGGAGCCCCTCCAGGGCCACCCCCTCGGGGTCCAGCTCCACCAGGTTGGGGTTCAGGTGCGGGTCCAGCACCGGCTCCAGCGCGGGGTGCAGGGGAGGAGCGAACTCGGCCAGGGAGGGGTTGAGGCCCTCGAAGTTCATGGTGGGTCCTGGACCTGGAGAGGGGGGACAGAGGGACAGGAGGGTGGGTCAGGGACAGCTGGGGGGGCTGGAAACAGGGATGGGATGAGATGAGAACTGGGATTACCAGGGAATGGGATGGGGGCAGGAATGGGGGTGAGGGGTTGAGGCCCTCAAAGTTCATGGTGGGTCCTGGACCTGGAGAGGGGGGACAGAGGGACAGGGGGACAGAGGGACAGGAGGTTGAGTCAGGGACAGCTGGGGGGGCTGGAAACAGGGATGGGATGGGGGAACCAGGGATGGGATGGGATGGCAACTGGGATTACCAGGGAATGGGATGGGGGCAGGAATGGGGGTGAGGGGTTGAGGCCCTCGAAGTTCATGGTGGGTCCTGGAGCTGGAGAGGGGGGAAAGGGACAGGGGGTGGGTCAGGGAGAGCCAGGGGGAGCTGGAACCAGGGATGGGACGGGGGAACCGGGGATGGGAACTGGGATCACCAGGAGTGAGGGGCAGGAACGGGGGTGAGGGGCAGGAACGGGGATTGAGGAGCAGGAACGGCAGCTGGGATCGGGATCTTCGGGGGTGAGGGATGGGAACGGCAGCTGGAATCACCCGGGGAGAGGGGCAGGAACCAGGAACGGCAGCCAGGATTCCTGGGGGTGAGGGGCAGGAACGGGGATTGAGGGGCGGGAACAGCAGCCGGGATCTCCGTTCCGGTGGTGAGGGGCAGTGCTCGGTAGGGCCTGGGATGTAAAGTTTCTGCCCCAGGGGGTGATCAGAGCCTGGGCATGGACGGGGGAAGGGGCTGGGGTGGTCCCTGGGCACCGGGCACCATCCTTGGGCAGCGGAGAGAGATCCCTGGGTACCGAGCAGGGGTCCCTAAGTACCGGGCAGGGGTCTCTGAGCACTGGGCACCGTCCCTGGGCACCGGGCAGGGGTCCCTGGGTACCGGGCACTGTCCCTGGGCACCGGGGACGGGTCCCAGGACACCGGGCACTGATCCCTGGGCACCGGGCAGCATCCGGGCTAACCGGGAAGCAGCCCGAGATGCCAGGCAGCCTCCCGCGGATACCGGGCAGTGCTCCCAGAGCACGGAACAACCTCCAGAGGAAGCGGGCAGTGTCCCAAGGCACCGGGTAGTGTCCTAAGGCACCGGGCAGCCAAACCGGGTCCCGCCCCGCCGCACCCCCAGGGCTCCGGGCCAGCTCCGCACCCTCCGCCTTTATCACCGCGACCCCACATCGATCTCGTCGGCGGGACCGGCGCTATCAGCGCCCGCAGTCCCAGGCGTGGTGCCGGGCGGGGCACACGGGGGGTCCCGTCCCGACCGAGCCCCGGAGCCGCCGCCAAACCCACACCCCGCCGCGCCCGCCGTTACCGAGCCGCCGCGGGCAGAGCCGCGCCGGGGCCGCGCTGCCGGGCTCGTCCCGCTGCGCCGCCGCGGCCGGGCCGGGGCCGGGGCCGCTCCCGCCGTCGCTACGGCAACCGCGCCCCTTGCCCGGTAAACCGGGGCCGCCCCGCGCCGCTGACCAATGGCAGCGCAGAGCGTCGGGGTGTTGACCAATCAGCGCCCGAGGAAGGCGGGACTATGCAGCGCGGCGGGACGGGGCGGCGCACAGGACAAAAAGGCTGCGATCGGCTGGTTCGTGGCGGGGGAGCCCCGGGGACAGCCCCGGGACCACCGGGGGCCTCTCCGAGCCTAGGCGCTGCTGAGCCGTGCGGCGGCTGCGGTCTATGGGGTCCTACGCAGCGTTCCCGGTTACCTACGAGAGCCTACCGTGTGTCACGGAGCAGCCCGGGGGGTCCCACGGTGCCCGCGGGTGTCTGGCACCCCTCGGGGCCCCCAAGTGTGCCGCGCAGTCCTTGGCATTCCTACACAGCGTGCACGGGGGTCCCACAATGTTCCAAGGGGTCCCTCAATGTCCCCTAGGGTGCCACCGTGTCTCCAGTACCCCATGGGGTCCCCAAAGTGTCCCCAGATGCCTTTCAGTGTCCCTCAGTGTCCCCAAATGCACCTTAATGTCCCTAAGTGTCCTTTGGTGTCCCTCAATGTCTCCCCCCGTCCCCGGTGTCCCTCATCCCCACCGATGTCCCCAAATGTGCCCAAGTGTCCCGGCCTCCCGGCCGTGTCCCCTCCCCGCTGCCCCCGTGCCCGGCCCATCCCCGCTGCCCGCGGCGCTCCCGGTGCCGGGGAAAGCCGGGGGCAGCCCCGGCGGGCGGGGCGGGAAGAGCCGAAGCCGCCGCCACCCACGAAAGCGCCGAGATTGCGGCAACACGGCCCGGCCCGGCCCGGGACAACGGGGGGACAATGAGGGGACACCGAGGGAACAACGAGGGGACACCACGGGGACAATCAGGGGACACTGGGGAGATACCAGGGGACACCCGGGAACACCGGGGGGACACCAAGGGGACACCGAAGGGACAATGGGGTGATAACGAGGGGACGCCCGGGAACACCGGGGGGACACCAAGGGGACACAGAAGGGACAACGAGGGGACACCGGGAAGATACCGGGGACACCCGGGAACACCGGGGGGACACCAAGGGGACACCGAGGGGACACCGAGGGGACACCGAGGGGACACCGGCTCGGACACAGCGGCACCGGAGAGCGGCCACGCCGGGGCTCCGCCGCTCCCCGGTGCACCGAGGGGGCGCCCGGTGCTGCCGGTGCCTCCCATCCCGCCCGGAACTGCCCCGGGTTTTCCTGCCCGTCCCATCCCGCGCGGTCCCGTCCCGGTGCGACGGGCGCAGCGCGGAGACCCCGGCCCGGTATCGGTTCTGCTTTCGAGGGGAGGCGCCAGGGCAGGAGCACCTGCCCCGGGATTCCCCACCTGCCGCCGCCCTATAAGAGAAGCGGCGGCCGCACACACCGAGCAGCGATGGCTCCGCTCCGCCGCCTCTGCCTGTGCCTGCTCCTCGCGCTGCTGCCGCCGCCTCCCGCCGCACCGGCACCGGCACCGGCACCGGCACCGCTCCGCCGGCCGGACTGGGCCGCCTGCCGGGTGCTGTCCCGGGAGCTGTCGCGGCTGCTGGGGGCGGTCAGAGAGCCGTACCCGGTGCTGGTGAGTACCGGGGGATCGGAAAACAACGGGGGGACTCGGGAGGCACCGGGGCTCAGCCAGAGCACCGGGAGTTCTGCCGGGGCACCGGAGGGCTCGGCCGGAGAGAGCCCGCTCCGGGCTGGGGACACCGGGAGTTCGGAAAGCGCCGGGAGCACGGCCGGGGAGAGCCAGGATTCGGCCGGTGCACCGGGGGGCTCGGGAAGCACCGGGGGCATCGAGAAGGACCGAGGGGCTCGGGAAGCACCGGGGGGCTCAGCCAGAGCGCCGAGGAGCTCGGGAAGCATCGGGGGACTCCACCGGGGGCACCGGAGGACTCGGGAAACACCGGGGGCTCGGGAGGCACCGGGGGCCCGACCGGGGAGTGCCGGGACTCGGCCGGTGCACCGGGGGACTCGGGAAGGACCGGGGGGCTCGGCCGGGACGAGCGGGAGGCTCGGAAAGCACCGGGAGCTCGGGAAGCACCGGGGAGCTCGGCCGGGGGCACCGGGAGGCTCGGGAAGCACCGGGAGGTGCGGGCTCATCGCGGCGGGGGGGTTCGGTGTCCCGGTCGTACCGGAGACGTGAGCACCGGCCCCGATCGCTGCTCCAGGAGGGGCTGCAGCTGCTGGAGGAGGAACCTCAAAATTGGCCCCCCCGGATCCGCTGCAGCGACGCCTGCGACCCCCTGAGCCTGGAGAGCAACCACACGGTACCGGCGGCTCCGGGGGCACCGGGAGGGCTCCGGGATCACCGGGGGGACCCCAGGGATGCTCGGGGGTGTGGCTGAGGGTGCCTGGGGGCGTCCCAGGGGTGCCCGGAGGTCCCAGGGGATGCTCTGGGGTTCACCTGGGGGGTCCCAGGGATGTCTGGGGGTCTCAGGGGATGCTCTGAGGATAAACCTTGGGGTCCCAGAAGGGTCCCAGGGAATGCTCTGGGGGTCCTGGGGATGTCTAGAGGTTCCAGGGGATGCTCTGGGATGCACTTGAGGTCCCAGAGGGGTCCCAGGAACGCTGCTGGATGAATTTGAGGGTCCTGGGGATGTCTGGGGGGGGTCTCAGGGATGATGAAGATGAAGCTGAAGGTCCCAGAGGGCTCCCAGGGATGCTGGGGGATGCACTCGGGGGTCCCAGAGGTGTCCCAGGGATGCACTTGGGGGTCCTGGAGATGTCTGGGGGAGTCCCAGGGATGCTGAGGATGAAGCTGGGGGTCCCAGAAGGCTCCCAGGGATGCTGGGGGATGCACTCGGGGGTCCTGTGGGGATATCCTGGACCCCCACCTCACCCCCCTGCTCCCCCAGCTCTGCCTGCAGCGCATCCGCCAGGCGCTCCAGCACTACCGGGACCTGCTGGGCTCCGACATCTTCCAGGAGCTGCCGCAGCCGCAGCTGGAGAGCACCATGGAGCAGCTGCTGCGCCTCGTGCAGGTCAGCACCGCGGGCAGCCCGGCCCTCAGGGACCCCAAATGGCCCTCAGGGACCCCAGATGTCTCTCAGGGTCCCCAGATGGCCCTCAGGGACCCTCAGTGGCCCTCAGGGTCTCTTAGTGGCCCTCAGTGACCCTCAGTGGCCCTCAGGGTCCCCAGATGGCCCTCAGGCTCCCCAGATGGCCCTCAGGGTCCCCAAATGTCCCTCAGGGACCCTCAATGGCCCTCAGGGACCCTCAGTGGCCCTCAGGGACCCTCAGTGGCCCTCAGGGTCTCTTAGTGGCCCTCAGTGACCCTTAGCGTCCCCCAAATGTCCCTGAGGGTCCCTCAGGGTCCTCAAATGTCCCACCCTGTCCCACAGTGTCTCTCAGCATCCCAAATGTCCCTCAATGACCCTCAGTGTCCCCCGGTGTCCCTCAATGACCCTCAGTGTCCCCCGGGGTCCCTCAGTATTCCCCAATGACCCTCAGTGTCCCTCAATGACCCTCAGTATTCCCCAATGACCCTCAGTGTCCCCCGGGGTCCCTCAGTATTCCCCAATGACCCTCAGTGTCCCTCAATGACCCTCAGTGTCCCCCGGGGTCCCTCAGTATTCCCCAATGACCCTCAGTGTCCCTCAATGACCCTCAGTGTCCCCCGGGGTCCCTCAGTATTCCCCAATGACCCTCAGTGTCCCCCGGGGGGGGTCACACAGGTCCCCCCTGACCCCGCCCTGTCCCCTCTGTCCCCTCAGGACGGGCACGGTCGCCCTCCCCGGCACCTCCTGGCCCCCACCGATCTTTGGGAGCAGCCGGTGAAGCGGCACCTGGCCCTGAAACGGCTCCGCTCCTTCTCCGCCCTCATCGGCCGCGTCTTCAACCACGGAGCCCGCTGAGATCAGACCAGACCGCCCCCGGATAACAACCCCCGCCCCCGGATAACAACCCCGCCCCCGGATAACAACCCCGCCCCCAGATAACAACCCCCGCCCCCGGATAACAACCCCGCCCCCGGACCCCGCCCTTATTTATCGCCCCCCACCCACCCAGGGCACCCCCATCCCCTAATTCCGGACACCGCCCACCCCCTCGGACACCCCTCCCCTTATTTATCGCCCTCCACTCCCGGACCCCCCACCCCCGGACGCCGCCCCCCACCCCTTATTTATCGTCCCCCCTTTATTTATCACCCCCCCATTTATTTATCGTCCCCCACGCCTATTTATCGCCCCCCCCCCTTATTTATCGCCCCCCCCCCATTATTTATTGCCCCCTCCCGGGGTTATTTATGATTGGAGCCGTTCCTTTATTTATCTCGGGTATTTATCAGTTTCTAATAAAGCTCCCAAAGAGAGCAGAGAGCAGCGAGTGCGTGGGGGGGGGGGGGGGGGGGGGGATAGGAAGGGGTTAATTTACAGAGAGGGGGGTGAGGAGGGGTCTCTGGGGGGGGAAGAGATCGGGGAGGGGTCCCCTGAAAGGAAGAGACTGAGGAGGGGTCCCTGGGAGGGACCGAGGAGGGGTCCCTGGGAGGGAAGGGACCGAGGAGGGGTCCCCAGAAGAGAAGGGGCTGGGGAGGGGTCCCCGGAAGAGAAGGGGCTGGGGAGGGGTCACTGGAATGGAAGGGATTGAGGCAGGGGTCCCCAGAAGGGTCCCCACAAGAGAAGGGGCTGAGGAGGGGTCCCCGGAAGGGAAAGGGTTGGGGAGGGGTCCCCGGAAGGGGTTCCTGGAATGGAAGGGACTGGGGAAGGGCCCCTGGGAGGGGAGGGGTGTCTCCAAGGGAAGGGACTGAGGAGGGATCCCCGGAAAGGGGGGGACTGGAGAGGGGCCCCTGGAAGGGGTCCCCGGGAGGGGAGGGGTCTCTGGAAGGGGTCCCCGGGAGGGGAGGGGTCACTGGAAGTCGCTGGCGTCGATGTGCAGCGGGGGGAGGTCGGTGAACAGGGAGGGCACCGAGGGCAGGGCCGAGTCCTCGGGCTGCGGCAGGAACGGATCGTGCTGGGCCAGGAGAGCCGCGCTGCCTGCGGGGGGACAGGGACAGCTCAGTGCCAGGGGGACAGGGGACAGCTGAGTGACAGGGGGACAGGGACAGGGGACAGCTGAGTGCCAGGGGGACAGGGACAGCTGAGTGACAGGGGGACAGGGCAAGGACAGCTCAGTGCCAGGGGGACAGGGATGGGACAGGGGACAGCTCAGTGCCAGGGGGACAGGGGATAGCTGAGTGCCAGGGGGACAGGGGACAGGGACAGGGGACAGCTGAGTGCCAGGGGGACAGGGCAGGGGACAGGGACAGGGGACAGCTCAGTGCCAGGGGAACAGGGACAGGGGACAGCTCAGTGCCAGGGGGACAGGGACAGGGGACAGCTCAGTGCCAGGGGGACAGGGACAGGGGACAGCTCAGTGCTCATAGGGGACACGGCAGTGCCCAGGGGACAGGGCAGGGCTCAGGGACAGGGCAGGGACAGGGGACAGCTCAGTGCCCTGGGGGACGCCTTAATGCCCAGGGGACACCTCCTCCCCAGCCCCAGCCACTCACCAGGGCTCAGCTGGAAGCTCTCCTCCAAGCTCTCCTCCAAGCTCTCCTCCAAGGTTGCCACCACGTCCGGCATCAGCTCGGCCACTCCCAGTGTCCCCAATGTCCCCAAGGTCCCCGAGGGTGGCTCCAGCCCCTCCAGCAGCTCCTGCATGTCCTGTCCCCCCTGCAGCAGCAGCTCCTGCATGTCCTGTCCCCCTGGCAGCAGCTCCAGGTCCCTCAGCTCTGCTGGCAGTGTCCCCTGCTCCTCGGGGACCCGCGGTGGCTCTGCTGTCCCCTGCAGTGTCCCCAAGTCCCCTGAGGCCACCTGCAGCCCCCCAGGCAGCACCTGCACGCTCCCCGCAGCTCCTGGTGCCACCTGCAGTGTCCCCTGGAGCTTGGGGACTCCTGATGTCACCTGTGGTGGCTCCAGGCTTTGGGGTTGTGGTTGTAGTGTCCCCAGGCCTGTGGCCATCACCTGAGGTGTCCCCAGGTTCCCAAGGGTGACCCGTGGTGTCCCTGGGCTCGTGGCCATTCCTTGAAATGTCCCCAAGTTCCCAGGGGTGACCTGTGGCATCTCTGGGCTCGTGGCCACCATTTGCAGAGTCTGAGGTGTCCCCAAATTCCCAGGGGTGACCCGAAGTGTCCCTGGACTCACGGTCACCCCTTGAAGTGTCCCCAAATTCTCAGGGGTGACCCGAAGTGTCCCTGGACTCACGGTCACCCCTTGAGGTGTCCCCAAATTCTCAGGGATGACCCGAAGTGTCCCTGGACTCACGGTCACCCCTTGAAGTGTCCCCAAATTCTCAGGGATGACCTGAAGTGTCCCTGGACTCATGGTCACCCCTTGACGTGTCCCCAGGATCCCATGGGTGACCCGTGGCATCCCTGGGCTCGTGGCCACCCCCTGAGGTGTCCCCAGGTCCCCAGGTGTCCCCTGCCCTCGGGGCTGCAGCTGCAGCGTCTCCAGGTTCTCCGTGGCCACCAGCAGCTCCTCCTCGGTCTGACGCCGGTTGGGTGGCCTGGAGGGACAGACAGAGGGGTTGGGGTTGGGATTGGGGTGAGGGGTTGGGGATTGGGGATTTGGGGCAGGGATTGGGGTCAGGGTCAGGGATTGGGGTCAGGGATTGGGGTCAGGGGATTGGGGTCAGGGGATTGGGGTCAGGGATTGGGGTTTGGGGTCAGGGATTGGGGTCAGGGTCAGGGATTGGGGTCAGGGATTGGGGTTTGGGGTCGGGGATTAGGGTCAGGGATTGGGGTCAGAGTTGGGGATTGGGGTCAGGGATTGGGGTTTGGAGTCAGGGATTGGGGTTTGGGGTCAGGGATTGAGGTCAGGGATTGGGGTCAGAATAGGGGTCAGGGATTTGGGTCAGAGTTGGGGATTGGGGTCAGGGACAGGGGATTGAAGTCAAGGATCAGGGTCAGGAATCAGGGTCGGAATAGGGGTCAAAGGTTGGGGTCAGGGATTGGATCAGGGATCAGGGTCAGGGATCGGGATCAGGGATCAGGGTCAGAGTTGGGGATTGGGGATCAGGGTTGGGATCAGAGTCAGGGATCAGGGCCAGGGATTGGGGTCACTATCAGGGACTGGGGTCATGTTCAACCAGGGATTGGGGTCAGGGCTCAGGGTCAGGGGACCCCACAGCCCCACAGAGGTGTCCCCTCACCTGGAGGACACACGGATGAGGCGCCGGTTCAGGTACTTCTGGGACTCGCTCAGGTTCCCTGGGGACAAAGAGAGACATCAGAGGGGTGCCCTGGCTCAGTCCCAGGCCGTGCCAGGCCATGCCAGGCCGTGCCAGGCCATGCCAGGCCGTGCCAGGCCGTGCCAGGCCGTGCCAGGCCGTACCAGGCCGTACCAGGCCGTGCCAGGCCCTGCCAGGCCGTACCAGGCCATGCCAGGCCGTGCCAGGCCGTGCCAGGCCATGCCAGGCCGTACCAGGCCATGCCAGCCCGTGCCAGGCCATACCAGGCCGTACCAGGCCATGCCAGGCCATGCCAGGCCGTGCCAGGCCGTACCCTCCAGCCTCTGGCTGTAGTAGGGCCCGAAAGCCTCGTCCCGGGGGATGTTGGGGTACAGGAACTTGAGGGGGTTTTCTGGATTCTTCTCCTCCAGGCTCATGTGGTAGTCACGGATGATGTCGGGCAGGGCCAGGGACACCAGCTCCGAGGCTGTGTAGGGTTCCACGGCGTGGAAAGTGGGGGACCCTGCAGGGGGGACAGCGGGGGTCAGCTGGAGGGGTGGCACCATCATCCCTGTGTCCCACAGAAAGCTGGACTGGGGATGGGAATTCATTCTTGTTCATTTTTAACCTAAATCTGAATCCAGCTCCACCATTCTCGTCCATTTTTAACCTAAATCTGAATTCAGCTCCACCATTCTCGTCCATTTCTAACCTAAATCTAAATTCAGGTTCCCCATTTTCATTAATTTCTAACCTAAATGTGAATTCAGCTCCACCATTCCCATCCATTTTTAACCTAAATCTGAATTCAGCTTCACCATTCTCGTCCATTTTTAACCTAAACCTGAATTCAGGTTTCCTATTCTCATCCATTTCTAACCTAAATCTGAATTCATGTTCCCCATTCTCATCCATTTTTAGCCTAAATCTGAATTCAGGTTCCCCATTTTCATTAATTTCTAACCTAAATCTGAATTCAGCTTCACCATTCTCGTCCATTTTTAACCTAAACCTGAATTCAGGTTTCCTATTCTCATCCATTTTGAACCTAAATCTGAATTTAACCTAAATCTGAATTCAGCTTCACCATTCTCATCCATTTTGAACCTAAATCTGAATTTACCCTAAATCTGAATTCAGGTTTCCTATTCTCGTCCATTTTCAACCTAAATCTGAATTTAACCTAAATCTGAATTCAGCTTCACCATTCTCATCCATTTTGAACCTAAATCTGAATTTAACCTAAATCTGAATTCAGCTTCACCATTCTCATCCATTTTGAACCTAAATCTGAATTTAACCTAAATCTGAATTCAGCTTCACCATTCTCATCCATTTTGAACCTAAATCTGAATTTATCCTCTTGCTTGCTAAACTTCAGGGGAGGGAGGTTCATCTTCTTTGCCTTACAGTGGATCTGAACCTCCAGGGTCTCCCCCAAATTTGCTCAGGACGCGATAAACCTCACCATGGACATGGAAAACCCCCTCTCTCCACAGAGGCTTCCCCTGCTCCAGGGGGGTTCTGGGGGGTTCCTGGGGGGTTCCCTCACCTGTCTCCTGGTGCTCCACCCACGTGAAGGTGACACCACCCAGGACGCTCTCGCTGAAGCGCAGCAGGAACGTCCCCGTCCTCTTGGACTTGAGCAGTTTCTCCTCCTGCTTGCGGCTCACGAAGCCCAGGATGAGTCTGGGGGAGGCACTGTCAGCTCCTGTGGACCCCCAGACCCCTCCCCAGCAAGCCCAGCCCTGCTCCTACCCATTCTTCCAGAGCTGCTTGAGGTGCTCCTGGAGCAGGCCCAGGATCCCGTCCAGCCAGGCCCAGAAGGAGAAACCGGAGGCTCCATCCTGAGGGAGGGGACATGGGGACATGGATGGACACAGGGACATGGGGAGGACATGGAGGGATGGGGGACACGGAGGGATGGGGGACATGGAGGGACATGGAGGGACATGGTGGGACATGGTGGGGACATGGGGATGGAGGGGACAGGAAGGGACGTGGAGGGACATGGGGACATGGATGGACACAGGGATGTGGGGAGGACATGGAGGGATGGGGGACATGGAGGGACATGGAGGGACATGGTGGGGACATGGAGGGATGGGGGACATGGAGGGACATGGTGGGGACATGGAGGGATGGTGGGGACATGGGGATGGA